AATTGTTTATCGACTTGGAAACGTGTGAGGGGTCATTTGATGTCAGTGTTCCAAGTCCTCCAGAGACGTCAGCGGGCTCCCTGTTCCCGTGTGTCAATACAAGATTCAGTCAAGAAAGGCGGGCTTATCAGTACTTGATCAAGTTGTTCAATGTTAGGCGAGCATTCAAAAAGCCAATGTAACCGCCGCGGTGTTTTGTTTTTTTGTATCTGAGCAGTGCTTCTCATCTATATGCATTTGAAAATTAAACTATATTATTGGTTCTTGGTTCCAATAAAAAAAATAAATAAAACAGGAAGCTAAATTTGTACTTAATTCGCGATCGCAGTGTAAAAACCATTATTACAGTAAATATATGGATGCAAAACTATTGTACGCTATTAAAAAAAACAAAAAAAAAAAACATTAAATACGGTGTTGACTGAGCGTGCCTTGTTAAGCCACGAAAGAAGGAAATGTTCTTCTTCCTGTCAGGGCACCTTGGGCAAATTCATTGTTATTCGAATATATGCAGATCAGTTAGTAATTAAAATACCAAAGGGTTCGTTTTCCATTTCTCTAATTGTGTATGCGTGTGAGCTTTGATTGGTCTCACATGCTCCACTGCAATTTAGCCAGGCAACCTCTTTGCTTTGCTTCAAGCACCTCAAATTCTCTTGCCTTTGCTTTTTTTATTTTTTTCCTGACTCTCCCCCCTCCCCCCCACCATTTGTCACTCTCTCTCAGAGTAGTAACTAATGTAAAACAGCGTAGATGTGATTTCTATACATCGGCTGGAGACCAGCACCTCATCACAAACTGGTCTCGGCTGGGTTGTGTGAGCGAATCAAATCCTGGATGGCATGACTGAAACGAATTCAGCTGGCCACGGGATACCGAGCCTCGCATCGCGGGCCTCGCCGTAAGTTCGGCTGGATGATTTGGATTCATTTTGGCCCGAAAGGACACTGAGAGCAATGGCTGACTGCTGTGGTGTGTGAAACAAAATCTAAAATATGAACTCAAGCCAATGAGGCGTGTGCTTTTCGTCCACGGAGGCCTGCTCAGATATTACATCACCTTCTCTACCTGCAATATTAATTAAGAGACTTCTTTCCTGTGGAAGGTCAAGTAACATTTTGGGGTTTTGGTTTGTCAGTGTCTCTCTGGACTCAGAGCTGATGATGTCATCACCTCCACCGTCTCCGCACGGTGGTCGTGGAAAAATGTTTTTTTTTAAGTACGATGTTAGCATGAGATCTCGACTCAAGATTTTGAGGGTACCAATTTTTCAAATCTTTTATTCAGCCAAGGTACATACAGTACTGCAGATGTAACATGTTTGAAAAAAATCATTTAAAATTGTTTACGCGAAACAATGTCAATTATATGTCGGAAGGTTACGGAATTTATTCATCACCTTCAGACTAACACCAATTAAAAGTTAAATGGAGAGCATGTCTGAAGGTTAAAGCGATTCCTTTGCTCTTCGCCCCCCTTGGTAAATCACACAATTACACCAGACAGTTGGGAAGTCTGTGTCATATGCACCTTCTTTTTCCTTGACCACCTGCATCCTTCCATCTCTTTGCGAACACGGGATATCTTCACACTCGCGAGATGGAGAGAGGTGGAAAAGAAAAACAATTAGTGGCGCTGATGGAAGCCGTACGAGGTAATGAAATGGCGTATGTCATTGTAGCGTGTAATGGAGAGCAGTTTGAAGTTAATTGAGGGGAGATAGGACACTGGGCCACAGTCTGCCCGCGTATTGTAACGGCGCATGGAGCTTATCAGTGAGAAAATCACTGGACCCGATTCCTTATCAGACTGCAAATGACAATTATCTTGGTTTAACAGAGTAGATGGCCAGATCAGTTATTATCGTAATTAAATTCATATTCTTTTCATCCGTGGGCCGTGAATGGCCTCCATTCAAAGAGGATGGCTACAGAAAATCCATGCTCAAAAAAAATAAATAAATAAAATACTCTCTCTTCTATTAGTTGTGTTTTTCAGAATCAAAATAATTATTTTTTTTGTCCAATTCATTCCATTTGAATTGGATTTCCATCAGTGGCCGAAACTATTGTGGCTTGAAAAATAAGCTGCAAGTGACAGACGGTAAATGCTCGGAGGTTGAGGACCTTTTCAGAAGGAAACAGAGTGCCATCTTCTGGTGAAAAGGGGGATTGAAGCTTTTCAGGTCACACTCCGAACGTCAAAATGCCGTCGTGTGGCAGCAATAAATCATCCTTCAACCCTTTTTGACAACGTACTCAAATTCAGAGGGAAGGACCCGAGTTTATTTTGGAGTTGTAAAACATGTTTTTTTGAAAAAAAAATGAACAGTGACATGGAAAACATGTCCTCATTAAAAAGAAAGAAAGATGAAGGCCAAAACAGGTTGCGTGTAATGTTCTCTCCACTTCAGACTAACAAAGACCAATTAACCAATGCCTGCTGACAGTATTGCTCAACTCGAAACAACCGTGACAAATTGGAAAGAATGAGGGAAAAAAAGTCATTTTTTAACATTTATTTTGAAGGTTTTAGCATGATGGACAAAGCTTTTTTCTTCTCTCTTGTTTTGGTTCATTTATGTATTCACATATTCTGACTAAGGAGGACAAGTCTGTTTTCTTACTTTGGTTCACTTTTTTATTTTTTTTTTATTAACAGAGACAACACTTAGTTTAATTTGACCTGTTTTATCTTTATTTTTTTCAGTTCCGTTTCTTTTTTTCGATTTTGAACCAGTTGAGTAATAAATGATAACAGTAATAATGATCATAAATGCAGGCTTCGAAATCCTAAATAATGAAGCCACTGTCTCCGCTCTCGAATACCTCATATACATAAACACACACACACACACACAAGGGCCAGTTCACTTCCCGCTGTTATCTATCAAATGTGACCTTGACCCGCCACTCAGGCTGAGGATATCACTGGGTTGGGATCGAGCTTAGACAGAGGAAAACGAAAAGAGAAACTTCCTGTCAATCGTTAGAGGTGGTTCCATCGGGTATGAAGATTAGTCTACTTTCTGCCACAAAATTGTAGGGTACAGGAGACACCATCTGTACCCCAGAATGCCCAGCTTGCCACAGAGAGATGAAGTAAATTCCAACCAAGTGTATCGAGGCTGTCTATGGCTGTAATCTATCTTACTCACTTTACTCTGTTTTTCGAGCTTAGACAGAGGAAAACGAAAAGAGAAACTTTCAGTTCCATCATCTGGATTTTCATTCAGATCCAGCGGTAAATATCTGGAGACAAAAGTCGAAATGTTGATTTTTTTTTTTAACCCCCATCTTTGAATGTCAAACCCAAACCTTTCCATCACAAAAACAAAATGAATTTGCTTCAGTGTTCCAATACTTTTGAAGGAAGGTGCAGAAGGAACCGGGCACAAGATGTCCTTAAATTGGCTGACACATTCAATCTCAAGTACTTCTTTCTATAGTTTTTTTCTTTTTTCTTTTTTTTCAGGAATTAGGCTAAAAAAAAAGGTCTAAAAATGTCTGACACTTACGTGAGGGCGTTTCTGCTCAACAAGGGGTCAATGCAGTTGTCACTTTGGCTTGATACTGGCCTTTACTTTGCAGCCTCTCCCGCCTTCAGTGGGCGAGGTTGATAACAAATGGCCCTTTTGTATTTGCTCGAGACATTCCGGATGTGTGCGAACAGCTGCAGGTTTATGGATTTAGTGGGACGTCATTAAGTGCAGCAATCGATTACTGTATCTACTGTCGAGTCATTATTGGGAGGGCTACATTGTGGTATATGAATGTCAGATTCAGAAAAATGTATTCATCCTCCCCGGTAGTCCCCAATCCTAATGGAACTTTTATACGTGCTATCTATTGAATGATTGACACTTGGAGCCTTATCATCAGACAGGCAAACCCTTTCCAGTAACCCAACAGTACATAACACTGTACTAGTGTGACTGTACAATCTCACAATTTTGCTTGAGTAATGCTGCGCGGTACAGTACGTGCAATGCAGAGCAAATGAATAACCGAGTGTGACCGAACATTAACCAAGTCAAGAAAACGTATTTGAATTCCCTGTGCAATAGCTCAAGCGCACGATGGTAAATCTGCGTTATCTGTCGATAAATCAGCCGGCTGTCTCATTAGATAACAGTCGATAGGTTGCATCACCATCCCAAATGGTCCTTATGTGCTGTGAAAATATTTAAGATAGTGCAGTTAATCATACTGTAGATGTATAGCAGCGATAGCTGCTGTGCAGCTGCTTCACTTCTCTTCAAATGGACAGTTCCGATGTTTGTTTTTGGCTTGCTCTCCCCGTTGACATACTGGCTGGAGTTCTGGAATGTAAAAGGTGGATGTTTCGCTTATCTCTCTTCCCACCCGCGGTTGCACGATGGCGTGTTCAGCGAGATGCATTAAATTTGGTCGGCCGTATAGCACACGTGGTTGTTGTTGTTGTTATCCGGACAAGAGCACAAAGCTGCTTTGTGGATTTAAATTCAGGCTCAATTTATTGTCTCGTGTTTTGATAGGGTTGATGATGGACTTGATGATTTGTTCATATTTGACCTGAAAAACATCTCAATTCATGAAAACTAAAGAACAATTGGCAGATGCACAAAATAGCGCCAATTTATTCTCAATGAATTTGATAAGGCTCGCAAACTTTCATGAAAGAAGCACCGCAAAAAAAAAAAAAAAAAGATCAAATAAAGCAGTGGTACTATTTTTTTTAATCCAGAGATATCCATGAACTATTAATCCATTAGATGATCTTCTTTCCAAAATGTTTTGCCACCTATTTTCAAGCATTTCTTCACCTCTGTGTTTTTTATGGCCTAGCAACACGCAAACACCAACCTTATCTATTGCCATTTCCTGTAACTGTGTCGCAGCTGTCGTCAGTGGAAGACCGTTTTGCTCTGCGGCAGGACCCAGTCCTTTGTCTTCAACCTGTTCTCCCCACCCACCGCCGCGGTTACCTGGTTCAAGCGGTGGGCTATAAAAACCTGACGCCCTCCGCGCTCTCCGCAGTGTGACACAAGGGAGCATCCCCGTTCTGTCCCGGCAGTGGGAAAAGGTCACATTTATTCATCTGTGTTCCCTCAAAAAACAAGTCAGTCCTCATCATCTCTTTCGGAAGATCGTCAAGGTGAGAGTATTAGCGACGGAAGAGCTGGCGTGAAGGGATCAGCCATGCTTGGAGGCTTCCCCACAGATTTGTTGGTCACAGTGACGCTTATCTTTCTAACTCGGAGTGGAACTCATTGCAGGTAATAAATTCAACGTCGCGCTCTTCCACTTAAGCTAGCGTGTTTTTTTTTTTTTTTTTTTTTTGGGCAAAAGATAATTTGTAATAAAGGCTGTAATATATTTGCAATTTTTATTAGGGTAGAAAATGACATGTCATCCATTAAATTACCCAACTGGAGAAGAGATTCAGGTATGAGGTCATTGCTTTGATTTTTCAAAACTTCATAACCATGATTTAAAAAAAATAAATAAAAAGATATGGGGCAATGCATTTATTCCGTTTTCTACTCTTTGACAGAATACGTCACACAGTGTTCATTTAGCAAAAGTGCCGATGCGGTGTGCAACTGGGCAACGAGACACTACGGATCAGGTAAGAAAGATAACATCACTATAGGGACTACTGTCACTCAAGATCATTTTGACATCAGGATTAGTTCTTCCTAATCGCTGGTAACCGTGCGCAAAAACGTTTAACTGTTGAGATTCATTTGCACGACCATTCCTAAACTTAATCCTGCATCACCCTTCAGGAATATGTTGTCGGCTGTCAGTCCACAGCTCCATTAGCCTCGGACTAGTTTATGTGAAGCAAACTTTCGTCATGCTGTCTTTGGGACACTGGAGAAAGAGAGTCCACATAGAAAACTGAAAAAAAAAAAGTTGTAGTCAATGACTATTACATGACTGCAGATGTGCTTCTTGTTTTATTGAAACACCACGCTGTCTTTGGGACACTGGAGAAAGAGAGTCCACATTGAAAACTGAAAAAAAAAAGTTGTAGTCAATGAATATGACATGACAGCAGATGTGCTTCTTGTTTTATTGAAACACCAGCCAGCTCGGGATGGTTTGCCTTTATTATGTCATCAACCTGATGATAGAAAACAAAAGTTCTTCTCTAAATTGCAGAGGCATTTTTGCACATTTATTGTCAGCGGGATATTTTTATTGGATTATTTTTAATGAGTCATAAAAGCACGTGTGGATCATCTTACTTACTTTTCAGCTGCAGATACGACAACGCTGGATACGATAGAAAGCGATGCGCTGGATCAAGGCAAAGCCTGTCTTGAGTTCTGGTACTTGGCCCCACCTAATGCTTTGAAACTTCGAGCTTTGCTCATAAGCACCACTGGAACCGTCGCGGAAATCTGGACGGCGCCCGACCTGTCACGAGATTCTTGGCGACAGGTTTTTGTGCCATTAAACATCATTGAGTCCGGGACGAAGGTAAGAAGAAGAGTTTCAAACAATGTTCATTGTTTGGTAATATATGCAAGACAATGTCAACAATCGTCTTTTAACTAGGTTGTCCTTGAAGCAGTCCGAACTGTGTCCTTGGAGAATCGGGTCACATTTAACAGCATTGGAGTAAGGAGAGGCTCTTGTGGTGAGTCAATAATAAACTAGCTTTGGTCCCACTAATCAATACTATAGCGTGCAGGTAAACACTGATGGACATGACAGGTTATACGTGACAGACCTGGTCCTTTGTTAACATTTGTCACTTACCGGTCAGTATTACTGAAACCAAACATCCATTTTGCTTCAGTACGTTAACAAATGTCTGTTTCAGTCATTTCAAGAATTATCGCTAACAAATTTTCATTCAAAATGCGTTTCAGACCATAAAAATGCCTCAACGTTAACACGTCGTCGTCTTCTTGGGAGCTGGTGTATTCAAAGTGATCATTTATTGGGTCTCATCTCCCACAGGACCCCAGTGTGATCCAAACCAGGAGATATGGACGGACCGGTCCACTCGCTGCGTCTGTTCAGACAGGCAGCTTTACTGCGCTCCCTCTCCATGTCCTAAGGGTCAAAGCTGCAATCCTCAAATACGAAGCCCCAGGGAGGTGTCCAACACCGGGATGTGTACTATACATAGCAACACAGACTGCAGCACCTTTGATGGAGTGTTATTCCGCTTCATGGCCCCCTGCAACTACATACTGGCCAAGACCTGCTCTTCCTCTGAGGCTTTGTCCACCTTCAGCGTGGAAGTGCTCAGTGACCATGATGGGAATTCATCGCTTCCAGCTGTGCAGCGGGTCATCGTGACTGTGGGGAATGACAGAGTGTCTCTTCTGAAACGGCAGACGCACAGAGTTGTGGTGAGTTGCCGTGGTAAGACCAAAATAACTGATTTATAGAATCAGTGCTGTGATACCAAAAAACAAGTCAAGGTATGACTAAATACAAATGAAACGAATTCGCCAGGAGATAATACAGTGGTATGGCCATACAGCTCACTAAGCAAAAGCGTCAGAGTTCAAAGAGCGCCAGGTTAGCAAATACCATGAATTTGAATGACTTTCCTTCAAGCAGAACCCGAACACGTTTGAATTATTTTGTGAGCAGAAAACCACTGGTTGCAATGGAAGGAGAATTTAATTTATGGTTCAGATAAAGTGTGCGTAACTATGGAGCTGCGTTGATTGATTTAGTTAAGACACAGGTTTCTCAATAATGATGCAATGGTATTGTGTCCTATATGACTCAACATTTTTCATTCATGACTTCTCATTTTTTGGAGATTTAAAAAAAAAAAAAAAAAGGAAACAATTAACATACAAATTGAGCAGGGTGTCAACAACTAATTTGAATTCAGCTGCCATATTACTTTGAGTATCATGACTGACGAGAAATAAACATCGAAATGATTTTGTCCTTTTAGGTCAACGGGATCTGGAGGAATCTTCCACTCAGCTTCAGGAGTAAGACTATTAAAATCAAGAGTAACCAGGCAGCGGTTGTACTTGAAACCCGCTTCGGCCTGTCCGTGTCATATGACAATGCGGGCGATGTACATATATCGCTGCCAAGCGTTTACTCTGAGAAAGTCTGCGGCTTATGTGGAAACTTTAACCATCTCCAAGAAGATGACTTGAGAAATCCTGACGGAGCACCTGCACACGATGCCACAGATTTGGCTAACAGTTGGCAGAGCGGGCAAACAAACTCCACCTGTGACACAATTCTAGTTCCTCATCAGTGTGACCCTGTGGAAGAGACCGAGTATGGCAATGAGCTAAACTGTGGAGCCCTCCTCTCCAGTAGTGGGCCGTTTGCAGCATGCCGATCCGTTCTGGGAGCCGAAAGCTACTTCAGGGGATGTTTGAACAAAATGTGCTCCGCTCACGGTGACCCTTCAGTGCTCTGTGAGACATTGGGGAAGTACGCCGACACCTGCGGGGATGCTGGAGTCGCTGTGCCTGCGTGGTGGAACTCGACAATCTGCCGTATGTTACTTCATTGCCTCAATCGCTCTCACATCTGTTGCAATAAACAGGATGAAATTGATGACAATCATAAAAAGATGACGGTTAAAGGTGTGGTATCTCTTTCTGTCCCACAGCTCCACAGTGTGGTGAGAACAGTCAACACAACTCGTGTGCAAAGGGATGTCCCGACGCGTGCTCCGGTGAGGACATCGTGGGATCTTGTGGAAGTTGTGAGGAAAGGTGCGAGTGCGACGAAGGCTTCAAACTCAGCGGGGGCAAATGTGTTCCAGTCGAGGAGTGTGGGTGTTGGCATAAAGGCAAACACTATGAAGTAAGACAAATGAATGAATCAAACCAGTCTACAGTGGTACCTCTACTCACGAACGTCTCTTCATACGAAATGTTCACGTTACGAAATGACTCAACACGAAAATATTGCTGCTTGTTACGAAATAAATTTCAACATACGAAAGGTCAAAATACAGTTTGGGCTGCTAATCGCAGCTCCGAGTTTCTTTGAACGCGACATACTTACAGCTGCTCTGCCATTGGCTATTACTGAGCATCATTCTGGCATCCCATTGGCTGAGAGGGACTTCTACAAAATGTGTCGATGTGTATAGATCGGTGGTTCTTAAACTTATTAGAGATACCGAACCCAACCAAGGTTCATTCACCGAACCCTTCATTAGTGAAAAATAATGATTTTTTTTTAATTCAAGACATAAAAAAGGCATTTATTAAAAACTGAAATTTTTTTTTAACACAATTAGTATAAGGTATACGTTGGTGCACAAAATGAACCAGCCAGTGATGGCCAAGCGGGCATGTCATAACGACCCGAACCCGTGAGACTGATTCACCGAACCCCAAGGGTTCAATCGAACCCAGGTTAAGAACCACTCATGGAGATAGATAGATAGATAGATAGATACTGTATGTGTTTATGCAGCGTCCTTGTCAAAAATTTTCTAGTTCAGAAATTTCTTCCAGAATCTATTAATTTCGTAAGTAGAGGTCCCACTGTACTTACCTACCATCACAGACAGCTCTTGATTCTCACAAATCTTTTTGCAGAGAGGCCAAACGATCTTGGAAGGAGAGTGTTTGCAGCTGTGCCAATGCATGGGTGGCAATAATATCCAGTGCACTAAAATGCAATGCGCCAGAAGTGAAGTTTGTAAAGTGGAGGACGGGGTGAAAGGATGCTTCCCGATCGAACCCGCCACCTGTAGCGTGTATGGCGATCCGCACTATGTCACATTTGACGGGATGGCGTATGACTTTCAAGGAGGATGCAGTTACACACTGGCTACCACATGTGGAGCGGGGAGCTCAGTCCATTTCACGGTGACCGGTCACAACATGCATCCTCCGCTTCATAACTTCACCTGGTCCAAGCTGGATGCTGTGACTCTGCAAATTGAGGATTTGCACCTCACGTTGAATCAGAGTGCCAAAGTCTATGTAAGTAAGAACCCCATCGGAGTAGTTTTGCCATTTTTTTTTTTCAGTGCTCAAAAGTGACCTTTTTAGATATAATGAAAATTTTATTTGGAGGAATATAGTCGCAGTGAAACACAACAAGAAATTCAAGACTAGTTGTTCAGTTGGTGCAAACCCAAAAGTCTTCCTCATCTGCATGATGAATGCCTGCTTGTAGGGCTGCTCGATTATGAAAAAATATGAATCACAATTATGAATCAAATCACGTTCATTCAAAGGATCACTTATGTTTGGCTACAAAACAAGAAAATGAATGGTTGTTTGTTTCTATATGTGCCTTGGGATAGGCTCCAGTTTTACACGCCTCTGAAAATGCTTAGCGGTGTCGAAATGGATGAATAAATGTCACAAAAATACATTTAGAAGAAAAAGAAGAAGGAAGTTGCTGCTAAACGCTTCGAGTAGACTCCCAGTTGACCCATTTGACTTCTCCTTAAACAGCAAGCGTCACAATACGGTGTAGGAAAATACAAATTGTGCAAGAGATCACAAAAGTATGTTTTTTTTCTCTCTTTGTCTCTTCAGGTCAATACAACTTATGTCAGACTGCCTTATTCCATTGCTGCCTCTTATGGGTCTGTCTGGATTTACGAGAATAATAGCTATGTTGTCTTGGAGACAACCTTTGGACTAAGAATGGTGGTCGATGGGCAGAACAGATTGTTCTTGCAGGTGGATGACAGCTACAAATATCAACTGTGCGGCCTGTGCGGTACCTACTCCGAACAGCAGGATGATGACTTCATCAAGCCAAGCGGCCAAAATGCCACAGAACCGTTTGAGTTCGCCGATAGCTGGAGGGCCCCGCACAATAACGGGTGAGTTATTTTACTTTTGAACATAAAGCCAACAGCCTTGTAAGAGTAAATCGCCATTGATCCTCCTCTCCCAAGATGCGTTTCCCATCCAAATGATCCCCAACGCTGTGAAAATGAGGAAGAGGAGAATGAGGCTTACACCGAGTGTTTCGCTATCCTCGGGGCTCCTTTCAAGCCCTGCCATGAAACCATTCACCCAAGCGTCTACATCAATAGTTGTGTTCACGACTATTGTGCCGCAAGTCGCAACCAACACGCCTTGTGTGAATCAATTCAGTCCTATGCAGTTGCTTGCCGTGTGGCAGGAGTGGCGCTACCCGATTGGCCGACAGGTTCAGCCTGTGGTGAGTTACAGTATGTGCGGCTTGATCATGAGCACGGTGGGGCCTGGAAAGAATTTGATTCTGTGTTCTGTACAAAATGATGAGATCAGAGTTTACAACCATAGTGCATTACGATTGGAGTCAATTATTTATGTTTTGGCCTTTTCAGCCGAATCCCAAACGACAGAAAATCCTCCAATAACTTCGCCCTCTCCAACTCTTCCATCTCAAACACCAGAGCCTGCTTGTAAGACATTTCAGTTCTTCAGTCATATAGTCCAATTATTCATTTTGCAAGAAATATTTCTACATTTGCATCGTTGTGAGAACTATATTTTAATTCTATATAGAGCTGGATTAAGTTGAGTTTACTTAGGTATTGTAATATTCCCAGAGTAAAGTTGAATTCTCGTAGTTGCTAACATTTCTTTCCCCATAGCGTGTCCCCTGAACTGTGACTTTGAGAAAAATTTGTGTGGCTGGCAGCAACTCATACAGGACACCTTTGATTGGACGCGATATTCCGGTGCCACCCCAACAATCGGAAGCGGGCCAAATCACGACCACACCACTGGCGGTAAAACCCGTTTTCCGCATCAGGCATACCGGATGGTTTTTCATCAACTTTTCGTGACTGATTACCTCTGCGATTGTCCCTCTAGCGGGATTCTACATGTACATTGAGGGTGACAGTGCAACACAAGGAGACCCAGCTCGTCTGTTGAGCTCAGAGTGCCATTACAGTGGCCCGGTCTGCCTCCAATTCTGGTACCATATGTACGGCTCTGCCACGGCCATGACCCTTAATATGTACCTGCTCCAAGGAAATATAGCTACCAAGATATGGTCCATAAAAAACAACCATGGGCAAGAATGGCATCTAGGACAAGTCGATATCGATGTCTTCAGTCCTTTTCAGGTTAGCCTTGCACAATGTGTGGATTCTCTGTTGATTTGTATCCAAAGCTTTTTGGCCTTACTTTGGTTATTGTCTTATCCTGACCCTAACAGATCATTGTGGAGGGCATCAGAGGCTCCGATGCTCGATCAGATGTTGCAATCGATGACATTTCCATCCAGTTCGACTCTTGCTCAAGTAATCAATGATTCATACAAAAATGCATCTTGTGGTGTTACGGTTAAAACGCCAGTAGATCGAGTTTTCACAGTTATCTAACTCTTTCTTTAGGTAGTCTGGGAGGTGGACCTCCTTTAACTACAGAAGTACTTCCCTCCGACCCAGGTTAGTTCAAAGAAAGTTAAACTTTACACAGACGTGCTAGACTGTTTTACCTTTTTTAGACCATTTTTAGAATTTTGTTTGGAAGGGCGGACGTGTTTAACCCCCCAACATGCACGTGCATACTCACCATTGTAGTTCTCCCCATCTGCAGTAAAAAGCACTACTGGCGCTCAATAGCGATCTGTAATATCCAACCTGCCCATCTTGCACATGTATCACACATTCTGTCCTTTTCATCAACGCGAGATGTGAATTCACCAGGACAGAATGTTGACCGATCAACGCAAATTTGATCATTGCTCTCCATCGTAAATCCTTCACCAGCGACCGCTGCTGTCCTGCCTGCGTGAACAAATGCATGCATCAGTCACATGATGTCAGGAGCTCTATTGCTGGCGTATGTTGTGGAATTATTTCTTTTTGAAAGAGTGGGGGGGGGGGGGTGTCAGAGTAGGAGTATGCTTTAAACACTTTTTTTACACACTATGGAGACAATATAAGGAACATTGATAATAAAGTTTTGAATTTAGTATTGATAGGTTCATTACCAAAATGTGGTGGCAAGGCATGTTCAGGATGCTAAACTGGAATTAAATTTTGAGGATTTATTGAAGTAGCCCATTTTCACAACGTTGCGCTACTGTTACTTTTCTCTTGCAGTTTGTAGCCTGAATTGTAGCTTCGATCAGAATTTCTGCGCCTGGAAACAGATGATGACAGATGCTTTTGACTGGACATGGCAAAGTGGTTCTACGCCGACCCTAATGACGGGCCCCTCCTCTGACCACACTGGAGGTAAGATCTTGGATAAACCAAGCATACAACACAGAGATGAAGAACTTATTTGACAAAAGTTTAATTTCTCTTCTCTAGATGGTCACTACCTCTACATTGAGGCCAGTACCGTGTCACATGGCGATACAGCTCGTCTCATCAGTTCCGAATGTGCTGACTCCGGTTCCCATTGCCTGCAGTTCTGGTACCATATGTACGGCTCGGCCGATACTATGGGACTCCATCTATATTTACTGCAGGACAAAAAGGCTGATGCCATTTGGTGGAAAAGGAATGATCAAGGAAATATGTGGCACTTGGCTCAGGTGGACCTGACAGTTGCAGGAGCTTTCCAGGTCAGTCATCTCCATGACATAATTTCAGCCAGTAGTTCTATAGTCATAGAATATCAGCAGTTCCAGACATTTTAAATCCCCCAAAAATAACCCGTTGTTTTTCCTTTCTAAGATCATCATAGAGGGGCGCAGGGGCTCCAATAAAGAATCTGATGTTGCAATCGATGATGTAACACTTTACCATGGACAATGTTCAGGTGTGAAAAATATATCAATATGTACACACACATACACACCGTGCCAGTATTATACAGGGTGTTCCAAAAGTCTTGGGCACATTTTGACATGTTGTAATCTCAGTTTTTACATGGAATGTTCAAAGATGTTCAATGTGAGCACCATTGGTCACACGACATACATCACATTCTTGCCAAACGCGTCCCAGCATTGCATTGTCAATGGTTGCAACAGCATCTGTTATTCGTGCCTTCAGCTTAAAGCCAAAGCACCCGTCCGTTATGAATTTACCATGCCATCTCACAATGGACTTCCTCTCTGGTGGCTCCTTTGCGAATTTTCTGCGAAATACACGTTGAACAACAGTCCATGATTCAGTTTTTGCAAATTCAAGCACACAAAACGCCTTTCCTGGTTGAGTGAACGCTATTAATGGGTCTGAAAAGAAATTAAAAAAATCAATAGCCTCATGAAAAACTTAATGTCATGAGCTTTAAAATGGCACGACTTTTATCTTAGTACCTACTTGTCCTTGAGTGTCTTGAAAGGCGCTTATAAATGAAATGTATTATTATTATTATTATTATTATTATTATTAATGAGACATGGGGAGTTCAAATGTGCCCACGATTTTGGAACACTCTGAATAATACAAATAGGTCAACTTGGTCAGCAATTATAACTCATTGTAATTATATGTTGAGAGCTAAGAGGTGGCATGACAACATACCCTCCCAAACCTGAGGGAAATGTCACCGCCCTTCCAAGTGTCACACCTGCTTTAGTGACTGAGCTTTCTGCGGTGAATGTTACAGATCAATTCCCTGTTACATCTTGGCCCCCTGTGGCAAATGCCACAGAACATCCTGTCATTAAAGCAACGACTCATTTGATTATTGATGATGTTGTTAGTGGAGCTGCACAGAACAACAGACCACCACAGCCAGGTACAGTGATTGGTCTGTCATTTTCCATGGAGTTTGTTTTTTTTTTCTAAACTGGTTTCTGGATTCATTGCCAATCACGTAATCATTTATGACTTTCCAGAATGCCAACTCAACTGTAATTTTGACAAAGACCTATGCCAATGGGAGCAGCTGGTTACTGATGCATTTGACTGGACACGCCAAAGTGGCTCAACCCCTACCCTCCTGACAGGGCCCTCTTCAGATCACACCACAGAATGTAATTCAACCATCTGAGTAATGATGCACATTTTGTTAGAAAGTTATTGAAAATAATTACACAAAATGTCAGATGGATTCGAACGTCAGGCACACCCTTTGGTACCAACTCCCTTGTACTCCAAGGGTGTTTTTTTTTTTAAATATATATATATTTTGAGCTGTTCTCAATTGGCCAAGAACAAAAATGGTTTATCTTTTACATAAACTACATACAGTCGAAACTTGTTTCAACGTACCCCATTTACAATGTTTTCACCGCTATAACGTTCACATTTCAAAGTCCCGATTTCAGGTAATTAATTTTCCATTTGCCGATTTTGCTTACAACGGACGCCTTTCTAACGTATACTTTATAATGACAACCAGATTTTTCCCACAAAATAGTGAAAAGGCCTTCGTGACGACAAAACATGGGAAGCTAACTGCTGTCCCACCTGTCGTAAGATTTCATAATTTATACATAAGAGCAGCATGGCAGTTTGAAGATAAACTGTAACAGCGTATTTCTCATTGATGATCTGACTGACGAATGCACTAATAAAACTCTTGTCATCATCCAGATGGCCACTATCTTTACATTGAAGCCGACAGCGCATCACATGGAGACACAGCTCGTCTCATCAGTTCAGAGTGCTCTGCTTCCGGTCCTCAATGTCTGCAATTCTGGTACCATATGTCCGGCTCGGCCGACACTATGGGCCTCCATCTATATTTACTGCAGGACAAAAAAGCGGATCCTGTTTGGTGGAAGAGGAATGATCAAGGAAATATGTGGCACTTGGCTGAGGTGGATTTGACTGTGAAAGGAGCTTTCCAGGTAAACTTCGACCACCAAACATTGTTTGCCATTGATGTCGCAATACGGATTAGCAGCCTACGATTTAGCAAATAAGAAAAAAAAAACGTGTTTTCCCTTCTAGATCATTATTGAGGGGCGCAGAGGCTCCAATGAAAGATCAGATGTCGCCATAGACGATGTGACACTGTACAGTGGCCATTGTTCAGGTCTGACACGGAGCTTCCAGCAGTGACCGTGACAGATCAACTCCCCGCTACGGCTCGGCCACCTGGAGCAAACGCCACAGGAGCTGCTGTCACTGAAGCAACAACAAATCGAATTATGAATGACAATTTTCCTGAAGATGCACAGAACAGAAGACCACCTCACTCAGGTACAGTGAGTGATGTGTAGCTTTCTTTGGACCTTGGAGTTTTGTCATGATTTTATTCTCTACTCATAATTCATTTCCTGTCAATAATGTCCCATGTCTGACTTTCCAGTGTGCCAACTCAACTGTAATTTTGAGAACGATCTATGCCAGTGGAAGCAGCTCGTCGCTGATGTCTTTGACTGGACAAGACAAAGTGGCTCAACCCAAACAGCCATGACGGGGCCCTCCTCAGATCACACCACAGGATGTAATTAACCTTCAGAGTCATTCGCAGTAAACTTTCTCATTCTTTTCATTAGGCCAGGATATTATTCATGATAATTACAGAAACCAATTACAAAAGTCGGGCACGCCTCTCAGTACAAAGTTCAACAATGGTGACGCGTTTCCTTTTGAGCGAGCAACATGTTACCAAGGACACAATTGTTTTTCTTTTACATATATTACATATCGAGTATTACATTTGTGTATCGTCGAAATAGCCTTTGGAAGATGCTACTCGTTTGACCAAAGCCTGAACTTTGTTGACAAAACAATAATATATTAAAAGTGTAGATTTTGAATGAAATGGAGCCATCACGAGTAACGAAACAACAATTGAGCATTAACACATGAGAGGAATTGAAATTGTACTTAACCTCATTCAGTTCCTGGTCCATGAATGCTTTCTAAAGTAAAAGCAGATGTTTGCAAATTTCATGACTCACAAAAGATCATCGGTCTGCTGTCATGAAGGATGACAGAAATCAGAATAATTACTGTTGAGAAGCTGAATGAAGTTTTAGAATTTGGAACATTTTAAGTTCAACGATGGCTCTACACGATTACAAAAATAGTTGTCGATGAGTTTGATAATCAATTAGTCGCACATTAGTGCACTCTGACACCGCTAAAAATTAAACTTGGGCCATCTGCTACAAGCTGTCATCACTTTAAATAAACAGCACAACAGATGGATTCTCTACGAAATCATATTCTTCGTTAATAATGTGAAGAGTTAACTAATGAGATGCTTGTGTCATAATCTAGATGGCCACTATCTTTACACTGAAGCCAACGGCGCGTCACTTGGAGATACAGCTCGGCTCATCAGCTCCGAATGTTCTGCCGCTGGTCCTCAGTGTCTGCACTTCTGGTACCATATGTACGGCTCGGCTGAAACGATGGGCCTCCATGTCTATTTGCTCCAAGACAAAAAGGCTCAAGCTATTAGTTGGACCAGGAATAATCAAGGGAATATGTGGCGTCTGGCCCAAGTTGACTTCACCACAACTGGATCTTTTCAGGTCGGGAAAATCGAACTCAATAGTTTCACGTGCATCTTTACCACCAAAGTGCTCAGAGGAGAATTAAAATGTGCTTTTCATATTAGATCATTTTTGAGGGTCGACGAGGTTCTAATGAGCAGTCAGATGTGGCCATAGATGACATTTCCCTTTTCAGTGGGCGCTGTTCAGGTAATCGTTTACTTCAACCGACCATCTGCTTCGGTTATAATCGGTGTTGCTGATAAAAAGTGACTCGTTTTGCAGACCTGACTGAACCTACCACCCCTGCATCCATGACAACTCCTTCAGTTACAACTGAAGGTTTTGAACCTCCGGCAGGAAACATATCAACGACACAACCACCAACATCTACAGTAAAAACCACCACAATTGAACCTCAGCCAACCGTCACAGCTCGCCCATCATCAACCGACCACCCAGTCGACGAAGGAACCGAAGATCCGGGACCCGAACCAACAACTGAAGAAGTGACGCCACCCATGACGTACCCTCAAACCACAACTAGACGCACACCTCTAACAACAGAAAGCTTCGATCCGACAACTGGATCACACCCGGAAACTCCAAACAAAACTCCACCAGTAACAGTCGATGAAGGAACCGAAGATCCAGGACCCGAACCAACAACTGAAGAAGTGACGCCACCCATGACGTACGCTGACACCACAACTAAACCCACACCTCTAACAACAGAAAGCTTCGATCCAACAATTGGATCACACCCCGAAACTCCAAACAAAACTCCACCAGTAACAGTCGAAGAAGGAACCGAAGATCCGGGACCCGAACCAACAACTGAAGAAGTGACGCCACCCATGACGTACCCTCACACCACAACTAGACGCACACCTCTAACAACAGAAAGCTTCGATCCGACAACTGGATCACACGCGGAAACTCCAAACAACACTCCACCAGGAACAGCTGGACCTCCATCAACCACGAGTTCTGAACCTCAGCCTCCAAACGCAACAACTGAACCACAGTCGACAATGACCCACAAACCACAACATCCAAATGCATCTCAACCGGCGACAACCGGTAGACCACAGCCCCCAACGACACCTGAATCGAGTGAGTGTGAACTCATTGAGAGACTCGGAACCTTGCAATAACCTACAGTCAATACCACCAACACAATACTTTTACATGTGCAACATATTACACTAAGACGCTCTGAACAACTTAACCCAATGCCAGCAAAAAATAATTACCGTACGACAAATTGCTGGCATGGCTCTTCAACGTATTACATATAAACTAAATACCGTGCTGCACTTGGATTACGTTTCCAATGTTCCGTCTCTTTCTCTCTGTCAGCAGCACCTCCCTGCCAACGGAATAGTCATTACAGCGCTTGTATCCCGGCCTGCGGTCCAACCTGCAGATTTTTGAACGGTCCACCGCATTGTAACGACAGCGGGGTTTGCGAGCCGGGGTGCGTGTGTGACGACGGCTATGTGCTGAAACGGGGAGTTTGTGTGCCGATCCGACAATGCGGATGCGTGGACAGAGACGGTAATAAGTACACGGTAGGTGACAATTCAGAATTTCACTGAATCAGTTGGCTTCATGTGCACGACTGTTACTTTGCTGGTTTGGCGTTGTTTCAGTTGGGACAAGTGTGGTACACCAAACACTGCCGTCACAAATGTAGATGTGAGAAGGAAGAGGACGGCGCGGAGATTGAGTGCGATGAAGAAGAGTGCGACGGAAATGATGTTTGCCTTCAAAATGAAGAAGGGCATTATTACTGCCAGAAAACGGGTAGGGGGAATATATTCGACGCATCAGAACTGGCCATACATTTTGTGTTTCTAAACAATTCAAAATATTGCATTTATGACACACAACAGGTTTTGATGAGTGCAGAATCAATGGAGACCCCGGGTACAGGACCTTTGATAACATGAAGCATGACTTTGAGGGAGAACACTCCTATGTGCTGGTCCGAACCAGAAACTTGCCCATTAATCTCCAGGATGTTTACATAGAGGGCATCAATACACCCGATGATGATGATGATGATGATGATGATGATGATCAAAGTCGTGAAGATGACGACGACGAGGATGAAAGTAACGATCATGAAGAACACCACAGATTGCAAAGTCTCAAGATCAAAGTGTACAATCACACTGTGGAATTCAAGAAGCTTCAGAAGTTGTTTGTGAGTTTCGAGGGCATTTAAAACGATGTATTTGATATTTTTGGATGATTTGTTATGAATGGTTCCAAAGCTGTGATTCTATTTCCTTGCAGGTGGATGGACGGAGAACTAAGACACCTGTTTCACCCTCGCTTGGTCTAAACATTAGGAAGCATTCGTCTCACATTTATCTCACGACCGACTTTGGTCTTTCCGTCAAGTTTGATGGACACAGTGACGCAGGTGATTATTTTGTTATTTTTATTCCCAAGTTGTACATGTCCCTGATCCAGTAAACTAACCAAAATCATCTTCATCTTTGCCTGGGAGATGACGAAAAGAAACCCAAAAAAATTAAACATGCTTCTGAAGCTTCACTTTGCACAACTGCTACCACATCGACACAGTCTTGTCGCCGCTGTTGTTTTCCTGAGAATTTGTAACCCCCCCCGGACACTTGAATTTGAAAGGTGCTGCGAGGAAGGATCTCAACAGTCATGATTACCCAGCATTGAATTTGAATGAAAATTATAAAATCTTATCATCTGTCAATATTTTTTCCCACCCTGAAATCAAATGCTGTATTCCCACAGAAATCACTCTACCACGAACATACAAAAGAAAAGTGGGAGGCCTGTGCGGAAACTTCGACGGGAGAATTTTGAATGACAGGATGAAACCGGACGGCACCGTGGCCAAGTCTGTTCAAGAGTTTGGGGAGAGCTGGAGAGTGTGACAAAGTAATGGATGAGAAAACTGCAGTCCGAAAAGCCTGTCGGGATATCGCTGACCCACAATGTTTACCCTCATCTAAGTTGTTATTTTCTTCAGACCGAGCTAAACCTGAAGAGTCAATAGCATGTATCAGTGTACACGGTTAACATCATGTTTGTTGGTACCATGCCTGAATTCATTAAACTCAACTCGCTATACCACAATGACGCATACTCCCACTTCTTTGGAAGGGAGACGCCTTCAAACATTGTTAAGATATTTTATTTTTGAATTGTTTTATTTATTTATCTATTTGTTTGTTTCACTGGGACAGCACACACTAATCAACACAAGAATAAACAGTGTCAATGGGCCGGACTTTGCATGAATGCCAATTTTCAGCCGTGGCCCCAACGCAGGTTTCTAAAAAAGCACAGTGAGACACATAAAACTTTAAGACTTTAATGACCAAATATGTAAGACGTCATGAAAGAAACAATAAAAACAGTTGCAGTACTCAATCACAAGACAAAAGACCAGGATGGACAAATCACTTGGCGATCATGACAGCTGGAAAACGTGCTGCGCTGGTGCTTTGTGAATAAACAGAATCCCTGATTTGAAAACCTGCGAGGTTGCCATCGCAAAGCAGAGTATGTTCTCTTCTGTTTCCAGGTAATTATAATAAATTGCGTCACCAAAACAGTTAATGACATGAAGCTGCCTTTACTCTCAAGGTAACCATACTACATTACGACCAATGAAATGTAGAGGGTGTGCCTACCGAGATGAAAGCAGACAAATTAGTTGGCAACAAGAAGGGATAAAAAGAGGTGAAAAGAAAGGAAGTCATTTCTGAAAGCGTCCTTCCTGAGAGACATCAGGTGTTTGGCTCAGAAATGGATCGGTTTCTTTGTTTTTTCTTTTTGTTGGCGTCTGTAGCGCTGATTAATGGTGAGTCCTTGTAACATTTGTTATTTAAAGGCTTGAATGAGTTGAATTTGAATTGAAATATAAAAAGTAAGCTGTACATCAATGCTGCAATTTAAAAACAAAAATTCCTGTCAGGATATGATCGTGACCACCATTCTCCTCTTTTTTGCATGTAGCGCAGAGCATGGAGGCAGGGTTGGTGTCTCGAAAAAAAAACAAACAAAAAAAGCAATTTAAAAAAGTGATCTTAGTGAAATGAATCACCAAAGAGATTTAAATATATTTATATTTAAAATATATATCACAGTGATCTGTCACATTAAACAATTTGACGTTTAATATAGTGCTGTCAAGCGATTAAAAAAATTGTGGGATTAATTAGGGTCTGTGATTAATTAATTAATCTACATTTTCATCTCATCTAAAAATGACTGAGAAAACCCCATTTTCATTTTAAATTCGTTCCATTTTTGAGGCAGATAAAAAGATAAAAGAAAAAGTGGCATGATAAAGTATTTTATTGTTTTTCAGCAGACTTGGACAGTCCTAGCCATTTACTTTCTGCTGTATTTGAGACTAGTCAAAGTCCTGCCTGCAACCTTTAGTTTCGACCGCGAGGGGGAATATCACTGTTTTGTTTTTGTAAATCTCCAAAGAATTACAAAATAAAAATAAAAACATCAGGTCCTTAGAAAGTGCTGACGTTAACATATCAAAAACAGTCCTAACAATTTTCTGAGCAATACAAGTACTCAACACTGAACTTGCTTCGGATAATAAAAAATAAATAAGAGACCCTTAGATCACAGTGCTGTAAGTTAACGCTTCAGAAATAACACTGTTCATCATGACAAACTAAAAGTGCTGAAATAAAAAATGCTTCTAGTAGTCTACAGGGGACACATCAACAATACCTCATACGTGGGGTGTGCTCGAGTTTAGTTTGGCGAAGAGCTTTGCGATATATGGCTCGCTCGCGATATTGCTAACGCTTTCGGTGGTAACGTTAGCTGTGGCTGCACTCGTGACTGGGTGCTTTGCATTGATGTGGTAGGCGAAATTTGAGCTGCTTCGGTGGTACGCAAACTCCTTCTTAAAAATTAGGCACAACACTCTACTTTATCAATTGTGTTGTCAGGGCGTTTTTGGAATGTGAATTTTCCATTCATTGTACCGAGAACTCTCACATCCTGCTCCATTTTAACCTCTCCACTCCTCACCACTGCTTACTAAACCCGCCCAACTCCAATGGGAGCCTATCAGCTTCGACTCAACAAGCCCCAACATAATGGCAGCCAGTCAATGTCCGCTTCAGGCTATGACTGACAGTTGTTTGCCCACCCTCAACAACCGGAACACAGGAAGCCAACACATAAAAAGGGCTTTGAGAAAAAACGCAGCCCACCTACAGAAACAATAAAGTTAGAGATGAAAATTTAGAATAACGCGATTTAAAAAAAAAAACAACGCGCTAAAAGGTCTGTAATTAATTAATCGCAATTAACGTGATACTTTGACACCTCTAATCTTACCGATGATTTCATCTGGGCAACAGTTTTACTACAGTATAAGGTTGCATTATTAACAGTTGATCAGACGGCCACCAGCTAATATCCACTTCACAAGCTGGCACGGGATCCAATCGCCACAGCCGTTTCAAAAGTAGTCACCAAATGCCTTCTTTGAAGTGACAATAACACTGTCCATTCATGACTTAAAATGAAATAAATGACATGTTGTTTTTTCTTCATTTACATTTCAGGCCAGGTCATCCCAGGTAACTTCAAAGTGTTGTCCTTTCGTGGTTTTAAATGGAATAAATAACATGTTTTTGCTCTCTGCTTTTAAGATATTATTGCCATCAGCCAAGGTAAGCGTCTACACGTACACGTGGCACATTGTATTCCAGAACATTGCCCGACAATGGAAGCTGAAACACTCAAATGCTCAACGGCGTCCAAGTCTAAAGCAATATGTTTCAAAATTTTACAAACGATTTTGTTTTATTTGCATCATATCTTACCGATTATTTTAGCCAGGCAACAGTTTTACTACAGTATAAGGTTGCATTATAATCAGTTTATCAGATTGCCACCAGCAAATATCCACTTCACAAGCTGGCACGTGATCCCATCGCCACAAACGTTTAAAAAGTATTCACCAAACGCCTTCTTTGAAGTGACGATATCACTGTCCATTCACGACTTAAAATGAAATAAATGACATGTTTTTTTTTCCTTCATTTACATTTCAGGCGATGTCATCCCAGGTAACTTCAAAGTGTTGTCCTTTCGTGGTTTTAAATGGAATAAATAACATTTTTTTGCTCTCTGCTTTTAAGAAATTATTGCCCACAGCCAAGGTAAGCATCCACACGTACACGTGGCACATTGTATTCCAGAACATTGCCCTACAATGGAAGCTGAAACACTCAAATGCCCAACGGCGTCAGAGTCTAAAGCAATATGTTTCAAAATTTTACAAACGCTTTGTTTTATTTGCATCAAATCTTACCGATTATTTTAGCCAGGTAACAGTTTTACTGCAGTATAAGGTTGCATTATTAGCAGTTCATCAGACAGCCACCAGCTAATATCCACTTCACAACCTGTCAGATGATCCCCTAGCCACAGCCGTTTAAAAAGTATACAGCAAAAACCTTCTTTGAAGTGACAAGAACACTGTCCATTCATAAATTCAAATGAGATAAATAACATGTTTTTTCTCTTTTCTTTGCTTTGAAGGTACCTCTGCCAGCAGCCAAGGTAACCATCCACGCATGCACATGGCGCATTGTACCCCAGAACAATGATCGACAAGGGGAACTCAAATGCTCAAGTATCTAACAGCATCCAATCAAGTCATCAGAAAATATGTTCCAAATTTTAGATACTATATTGTTATTTTTGCCTGATATCATTTTCGCCGAGCAACGATTTGACGATGGTATTAGGTTGCATTCTTAGAAGTTCATTAGACGGCCACCAGCTAATATCCGCTTCACAACCTGGCACGCGATCCCTTGGCCACAACCGTTTAAAAAGTATTCACCAAATGCCTAGCTTGGAGCGAAGATAAGACTGTCGATTCATGACTTAAAATGGAATAAATAACAGATTTTTTTTTCTCTCTTTTTGTTTTGAAGTTACTACTGCCAGCAGCCTAGGTAACCATCCACACGTACACGTGGCGCATTGTATTCCACAACATTGATCTGCAAAGGAAGCTCAAATGCTCAAATGCCCGACGGCGTCCAATCAAGTCTAAAGCAACGTGTTCTCTTTTCTTTGCTTTTAAGATACGACTGCCAGCACCCAAGGTAACCTTCTACACGTACACGTGGCACATTGTATCCCAGAACATTGCCCCACAAAGGATGCTCAAACACTCAAGTGCCCAACGTCGTCCAACCAAGTCTAAATATGTTTAAAGATCTTACAAACAATTTTGTTCCATTTGCATCATATCTAACCGATAATAATCCCCGGGCAACAGTTTTACGACAGTATCAGGTTGCATGATAAGCAGTTCATAAGACAGCCACTCGCTAATATCCGCTTCACAACCTGACATGTGATCCAATAGCCACAGTCACCAAATGCCTTCTTTGAAGTGATGATAACACTGTCCATTCATGACTTAAAATGAAATAAATGACATGTTTTTTTTTTCTTCATTTACATTTCAGTCACTGGCAGCACAGGTCACTTCCCATTCATTAATCATGACATTGTGTTTTTTTTCACCAAACGCCTAATGCACAGATAATACGGTACATTCAGAAAACTAAATGGAATAAATAACATGTTGGTCTTTTTTCTTGACTATTTCAGTGACCGGCACTGACGGTAAGCTCCCACATCTTCGGTAGACTCACCTTGGAAAACGGGCTGTCACTTGAAAAGCGCTTTTCTACTTTTGAGACTCAAATCCCTTCACACTGTTGCCTCATTTACATACTGGGAACGCAGCATCAGGAGCAACAAGAGCTTCAGTATCTTTATGGAGGAAGTCATGCTTCTTTCATTACTTTTTCTTTGCTTTCTTCCTTTCGTCTATTGGATGGGGGGGGTTCAATTTTTAAAATATGTGAGCCAAACTTTTTTCTTTTTCTATTTTACACATTTTTTCACAGACTCCAACTTTAAACCGTTCATCTTAATCCTGCCGTTGTTGTTTTTTTTTTCAAAATTCAAATGCAAAGTACAGAAATTAATATTTTTCATCATTCCCGGCTTTCTACATGTTTTGATCGATTCAAAATATTCAATTTTGACCTTTTCTGCTCATTTCAGGCCATTGCATAATAATCTCAGTCATTGAATATTTGTGCCGTCAAGTGATTAAAAAAAAGTTCGATTCTTTAATTATGATCTGTAATTAATTGATCTAATTAATCTATATTTTAATCTCATCTAAAAAGTGCTGAGAAAACCCCTATTTTCATTTTTAATTCATTACATTATTGAGGCAGATCAAAAGACAAAAAAAGTGGCATTGTAAAGTCTTTCATTGTTTGCAAACAGACTTGAACGGACAAAGTCCTAGCCATTCACTTGCTGCCATAGTTGAGACTCGTCCCAAGTCCTACCTGCAACCTTGAGTTTGGACCACCAGCATGAATGTCACTGTTTTGTTTGTTTTTGTAAATCTCCAAACAATGACAAAATAAAAATAGAACATCAGGTCCATAAAAAGTGCTTAGGTTAACATATGAAAAACAAAATAAATAAGAGACCCTTCAATCACAGTGCTGTAAGGTAACACTTCAAAAATAACACTGTTCAACATGAGAAAATAAAGTGCTGAAATAAACATCAACCACTTCTGGTAGGCTACTGAGTCAAGATCATGTATGGATGAAGATTAAAAGGTCATGACTTTGTTCTCTCCCCTCTCTCAGCATGTGTGGATGCCAAAGTGGCTGATGTGGTCTTCTTGGTGGACAGTTCGGGCAGCATTGGCAGTACCAATTTCCAGGAGGTCCGAGAGTTTCTGCAGACCGTGGTGTCTGGTTTGGACATCGGTCCTGACAATGTCCGCGTGGGTTTGGCACAATACAACCAAGACCCTGTTCTAGAGTTCTCGTTGCTAGAACACATGGATAAGAACTCCCTGCTGGCCGAACTGGGTAACCTCCCCTACCTGGAGGGAGGTACACAGACAGGCGAGGCCATCGACTTCATCCGGACGCAGCTGTTCAACGAAAACGCAGGAAGCCGAGCGAGCCAGGGGGTGCCTCAGATCGCCGTGGTCATCACAGACGGAGTCTCCGGCGACGACGTAGTTCAGCCTGCTCTGCGCCTCAGAGAACACGGGGTCACCGTCTTCGCAATCGGAGTGGGAGGAGCCATTGTGAACGAGCTGGATGCCATCGCGAACCAACCGTCTGAGAACTTCCGATTCTTGATCGACAGCTTCCAATCTCTTCAGAGCGTGAGCGAGGTTGTCCTGGAAAACATATGCAATGCCATTAACAACAAGTTGCGAGGTGAGTCACGGAAGCACAGGCAGCGGCTTCTGGGTAAAGGTTTCCAGGTTACGAATGGCGTACAATTAACTGGTTTTCTGGGTGGCGCCGGATTACATGAATAGAAATCTCGTTTGACAGGGGTATGACGAAAATTTATCTGAATCAGGCTGCCAGGGTTTCCTTGAACCCGCCAGGGTAAGCGGGATGCGCATTACCCGTTCGCTACCTCGCCAATGACGAAAATGTTATTTTGAATATCGCAATTGCAATTTTGCAAATCTCCAAACAATGACAAAATAAAAATAGAACATCAGGTCCATAAAAAGTGCTTATGTTAACATGTTAAAAACAGTAAGAACATTTTTCTGAGCAATACAAGTACTCAACACTGATCTTGCTTCGGATAATAAAAAATAAATAAGAGACCCTGAAATCACAGTGCTGGAAGGTAACATTTCAAAAATAACACTGTTCAACATGAGAAAATAAAGTGCTGAAATAAACATCAACCACTTCTGGTAGGCTACTGAGTCAAGATCATGTATGGATGAAGATTAAAAGGTCATAACTTTGTTCTCTCCCCCCTCTCAGCATGTGTGGATGCCACAGTGGCTGATGTGGTCTTCTTGGTGGACAGTTCAGGCAGCATTGGCAGTACCGATTTCCAGGAGGTCCGACGGTTTCTCCGGACCGTGGTGTCCGAATTCGACATCGGTCCTGACAATGTCCGTGTGGGTTTGGCACAATGCAACCAAGACCCCTTTCTCGAGTTCTCGTTGCTAGAACACACGAATAAGGACTCTCTGCTGGCCGAACTGGATAACCTCCCCTTCAGGGGGGGATGTACGGAGACAGGCGAGGCCATCGACTTCATCCGGACGCAGCTGTTCAACGAAAACGCAGGAAGCCGAGCGAGCCAGGGGGTGCCTCAGATCGCCGTGGTCATCACAGACGGAGTCTCCGGCGACGACGTAGTTCAGCCTGCTCTGCGCCTCAGAGACCACGGGGTCACCGTCTTCGCGATCGGAGTGGGAGGAGCCAATGTGAACGAGCTGGATGCCATCGCGAACCAACCGTCTGAGAACTTCCGATTCTTGATCGACAGCTTCCAATCTCTTCAGGGTGTGAGCGAGGTTGTCCTGGAAAACATATGCAATGCCATTACCGACCAGTTGCACGGTGAGTCACGGAAGCACATACAGGGGCTTCTGGGTAAAGGTTTCCTGGTTCCGAATGGCGTACAATTAACTGGTTTGCTGGGTGACGTCGGATTACGTGAATAGAAAGCTCGTTGACAGGGGTAGTACGAAAAGTTATCTGAATCAGGCGCCAGGGTTACCTTGAACCCGCCAGGCAAAGCGGGATGCGCATTCCCCGTTCGCTACCTCGCCAATGACGAAAATGTGATGTTGAATATCGCAATTGCAATGATATCGCGGTCATCAACACTCACATTACGTGTGTTTTTTTCAATAACATACAGCCCTAGCGCCCTCTCATTCTCCAACAGCCAAACTGATTGCGACTTTAGTTTGGTGAATTTTATTGTTTTATATATCACTGTAGAAAGGTAATACTGTACCTTTGAAAAGTAAAATGCAAAAAATAACATGTTTTCTCTTTTATTTGCTTTTCAATTCCCGGCCCACCAGGTAAGCCCACACACCCAATGTGTACTTTCCATATCGTAAACCAGAAAAATGATCTCCAAGGAAATCTCAAACACGCAAGCGGCAACTGCGTCTGCACATTGTCCACCGCCACCGTCTTTTAACGATAATTGACCAAATGCCAAATGTATAGATAAGGTGATACTGTACATTCAAAAATTTAAATAATGTAATAAATAACGCATTTTCTCGCATTTAATCAATCTATCAGGCTCTCCGAGCCCAGTAAGGAACTTGCCATGAGACCAAATGGTTTGATGGTTTACCGTGGTTTAAAACGTCAAGGTTTCAATATCCGCTGAAACATTCCGTCACTGGAATTGAGCTTTTTTATTTTATTTTATTTTATTTTTTTTTGAGGGGACTGACAAGCACTGCCCAATATGATGGTCGCTTACAGATAGAGCTAAATCTGAAGCTCATGAGATGAATCTTGCGTCTTTTTTTCCTTCTGCTCAGTTGAGCAGAGAGGGGAGGGGTGAGCAGTTTCACACACAGGAGGGTGGGAGGCGAGGAGCATACCTATATGGTTAATTTTTGCTCTGTTAAAGGTAACCTCCCACACCTCCGGTATCTGAGAAAACCCCTATTTTCATTTTTAATTCATTACATTATTGAGGCAGATCAAAAGACAAAAAAAGTGGCATTATGAAGTCTTTCATTGTTTGCAAACAGACTTGAATGGATGCAGTCCTAGCCATTCACTCGCTGCTGGAGTTGAGACTCATCCCAAGTCTGACCTGCGACCTTGAGTTTTGACCACCAGCGTGAATATCACCGTTTTGTTTGTTTTTGTAAATCCCCAAATCATTACAAAATAAAAATAGCACATCAGGTCCATAAAAAGTGCTTCGGTTAACATATCAAAAACAGTAAGAACATTTTTCTGAGCAAGACAAGTACTCAACACTGATCTTGCTTCGGATGATAAAAAATAAATCAGAGACCCTTAAATCACAGTGCTGGAAGGTAACACTTCAAAAATAACACTGTTCAACATGAGAAAATAAAGTGCTGAAATAAACATCAACCACTTCTGGTAGGCTACTGAGTCAAGATCATGTATGGATGAAGATTAAAAGGTCATGACTTTGTTCTCTCCCCTCTCTCAGCATGTGTGGATGCCAAAGTGGCTGATGTGGTCTTCTTGGTGGACAGTTCGGGCAGCATTGGCAGTGCCAATTTCCAGGAGGTCCGAGAGTTTCTCCAGAACGTGGTGTCTGGTTTGAACATCGGTCCTGACAATGTCCGCGTGGGTTTGGCACAATACAACCAAAACCCTGTTCTAGAGTTCTCGTTGATGGAACACTTGGATAAGAACTCTCTGCTGGCCGAACTGGGTAACCTCCCCTACCTGGGGGGAGGTACACAGACGGGCAGGGGCATCGACTTCATCCGGACGCAGCTGTTCAACGAAAACGCGGGAAGCCGAGCAAGCCAGGGGGTGCCTCAGATCGCCGTGGTCATCACAGACGGAGTCTCCGGCGACGACGTAGTTCAGCCTGCTCTGCGCCTCAGAGAACACGGGGTCACCGTCTTCGCAATCGGAGTGGGAGGAGCCAATGTGAACGAGCTGGATGCCATCGCGAACCAACCGTCTGAGAACTTCCGATTCTTGATCGACAGCTTCCAATCTCTTCAGAGCGTGAGCGAGGTTGTCCTGGAAAACATATGCATTGCCATTACCGACCAGGCCCCAGGTGAGTCACGGAAGCACAGGCAGGGGCTTCTGGGTAAAGGTTTCCTGGTTACGAATGCCGTACAATTAACTGGTTTGCTGGGTGGCGTCGGATTACGTGAATAGAAAGCTCGTTGACAGGGGTATTACGAAAACTTATCATAATCAGGCCGCCAGGCGTTCCTTGAACCCGCCAGGCAAAGCGGGATGCGCATTCCCCTTTCGCTACCTCGCCAATGACGAAAATGTGACGTTGAATATCGCAATTGCAACGATATCACGGTCATTAACACTCACATTATGTGGTTTTTTTTCAATAAGATGCATCCCTAGCGCCCACTCATTCTCCAATAGCCACAGTGATTTGACTTTAGTTTGGTGAATTTTATTGTTATATATATCACTGTAGAAAGGTAATACTGTACCTTTCAAAATTACAATGCAATAAATAACATGTTTTCTCTTTTATTTGCTTTTCAATTCCCGGCCCACCAGGTAAACCCACACACCCAATGTGTACTTTCCATATCGTACACCAGAAAAAATCATCTCCAAGGAAATCTCAAACACGCAAGCGCCCAACTGCGTCTGCACATTATCCACCGCCACCGTCTTTTAACGATAATTGACCAAATGCCAAATGTATAGATAAGGTGATACTGTACATTCAAAAATTAAAATAACTGAACAAATAACACATTTTCTTGCATTTTATAAGTCTATCAGCCTCTCCCAGCCCAGTAGGTAACTTGCCACGAGGCAAAATGGCTTGATGGTTTACCGTGGATTAAAAAGTCAAGGTTTCAATTACCGCTGAAACATTCCGTCACTGCTAACGAGCTTTTTTAAAGCTTTATTTATTTATTTTTTTTGAGGGGAATTACAAGCAGGGCCCAATATGATGGTCGCTTACAGGTAGCGCGAAATCTGAAGCTCATGATATAAATCTTGCGTCTTTTTTTTCCTTATGCTCAGTTGAGCAGAGAGGGGAGGGGTGAGCAGTTACACACACAGGAGGGTGGGAGGCAAGGAGCATACCTATATGGTGACTTTTTGCTATGTTAAATAATAATCACCCATGCGCAGACATTGTGATTTCAGAATTTAAACAAATTTAGGACAAATGTTTTGTTTTTTGTTCGATTATATTTTTATATATTTATTTTTGTGTTGGACAATTTTGACTACAACCTCTCACATCCAAAATAATCTAATTTTGTCTTTTGTTGATAGATGACGTGTTTGAAGGAACAGGTACTTACACACACACACGCACACACACACACACACACACACACACACACACACACACACACACACACACACACACACA